GTCGGAGCAGTATATTGAAAGGGAGCTGCCAGAAGTTCAGGCAGAATTCAGAAGAGAACGTGGAACAAGGGAGACCATGGCTGATGTAAGATGTATCTTGTTTCAAAGTAAAGAATAACAGAAAAGATAAAAAAAATGGTACACGGAGAAACTGGTGAGTTGGTGTGTGCTTTCCTTTTTATATTATATTCTCCACTTTTCTACACGTTTACTTGTTGGAACGATGCCATCAAGGTGGAAATTGGAAATGAACTCCTGGGTAAATCGTGGTCACTTAACAGTCCATAAGCAACATGTTCTTGGAAGCCTGTGTCATTATTCAGAAACCTAAGACTTTCTGAAATGATGAGATACTTGTTTATCTGGAAGAAATAAAACCTTTATAAAAAGACAGCTGTCTAAACACATTGGTGGGAACCCATGGCTTACAAGAAAGGCATCTAGTGCCGCATGTGATGCACCGGCGAAGGGACGGACCTCGAGTGCTCCTGCAGTTAGGGAGAGAGTTTTAGCACCGGCCTCTGATGCCACAACACACAGCTTCGTTGACATTTGGACCAGCCATCCGTCTAGTGCAGTCGGACAGAAATCTAAGGCGAGTTGTCAATTCCATCACCACACTGAGCAGAAGATGAGACCTGTTTAATACTTTAATGCGTCATAACTTTTGTTCCAGCCCAGGAGACAATACACAATACCAAGCACCCCTTCATCAAAACAACCCACTAGTCAAAAAAAAAAGAAAACCCCAGGGGTCGTCTTCTTTCAGGCTCCCTGCCGTGTTCCATTCCCAATGGCAACATGGTCACAGATTGATACATGTAGTTGAGTGTAACAGGTGAATATTTATTGAGGGCAGTTGTCCAATGAAAAAGTGCCTTGATACCACTCAGAATATATGTGTTTTTTCCCCCAGAATATATGTTTTGGCACAATTACAGGACTGTAATATTATGCTACACAAAGTCCATACATACCACCACACACATGCACATATTACATGCACCAAATGCATTCCAGAGAGACAATCACAGAAAAATTGGCTAAGAGAAACATACAAATTTATATATATTTATATCTATATACAATAAAAGGTTTACTGCCATATTCACACTCTGTAAACATTTGGGAAAATGCCCAGTAAAAGTCACTGTGGGCCTTTTGAAACGGTGACCATACGAGCAGGGTGGGAGGATTTAGGTTCACACTGGACAGCCAGTAGAGTGAAGATTCCTACATTCAGGGCAGCATTTGGAGGCGTGATTATATGTTCCAGAAGCCCTGTGGCGCCGTTGGGTACAGTTGGACTGCTAACCACATGGTCAGCTGTTCAAATCTATCAGCTGCTCTAAGGAAGAAAGATGAGGCTCTCTGTCCCATGAAAGAGTTACAAAGCCTCGAAAACTGTGCAGGGTTTCTCTGAGTCAGAATCCCCTCAAAGGACGATTTAAAAAAAATCTTCCTGGCCTGATAAACTATGGGAGAATGGTGTGACAGTCTACTTCTGTCATAATCCAGTCTTGGAAATCCTGCGGGGGCAGGATTTCCTGTCTCCTAGGCTTGCTATGAGTTAGAATGGACTCAGTGGCAATGAGTTTGTGTGTGTGTGTGTGTGTGTGTGTGTGTGTGTGTGTGTGTGTGTGTGAGGTTTTGTGTGAGGGTTCATAAACTCAGATGGCCACTTTGAAATTACGTTTCCTATCTAGAAAAGAGGAACGCTGAAAAAGTCTTACTGCCAGCTAATACATAGAGACATAAGAGAACACAAAGAGATTTGCATAATATATGTACATGCATGTATATACAAGAGTTATTATTAAAAATATCAGTAAAATTTCAACATCTAAAAATGTTTGAACCTTTCTCTGTGGTGTGCTTTAGATTTCTATGTTCTGCATTGACAGTCTCAGGCACGGTTAAATGCATATCCTTTTACATTTTGGCATGTGATATTGAGTTTATATATTAAAAAAAAACAACCTTCTATGCATGGACAAATTGGGTTAGGGAAAAATAGAACTGTTTAGTCAAGAATGCATTTTGAGTTTATATGAAAATAGGTTCAAGATGTCCTGTAACAGAAGAGCATTAAAAATACAGGTTCTTACAAATTCTTTGCGTAGCAGCCATTCAGCAAACACATGTGGTGGCCAGGCTGTGCTTCCGTGGCCCGTGTCTGTGGCAGCATGTGGAATTCATTGGAAGTAAACCAATGATCTGCTGACCTGAATGCTGCTTTTCTCCTTTTTTAATGTGTGTGCACAAGATGTATAAATGATCTCAAAGATCATTTCCATGCTGCTATGAAGTTAAAAAAACACTGACGTGAATGATGTTTCACACAGAGGTGGCTTAACCCATACTGTGTTTGACTTTAGGAGGAAAAACATGTCACTTTGAAAAAGACATTTTGTCATCATCACTAAAGTTCCACAGTTCAGTTCTCACGGAAAGTTCCCGAGACCTGCCGTGAAGTCGGTCGTGTACCTGAAGACTGTTCCTGTCAAGGGGGGAGTAAACACCTTTCTGGTTTCGTGGAGAGTCTCCTTCCCCAGTCTCGACTAGGACTGTCTCTTAGTGCTGTAGCATGCAGATTATGTGGATTTGATGAAAGACACAAGATGCACAGAATCTCCCGGGACAGCCAGTCCAGGCTCTGGTGTTTTGGAAGCATTGTTCTTCCCCAGGAATGGGACTCAGGTAAGAGCGAAGAAGGGCCAGAGAAGACCTTTCTGGAAAGAGAGTGGCTGGGAGCTTTCTCTCCAGCAGGAACGGAGGGAATACTGCTGAGCTTTTCTCCCGAAACCTAGTTGATGCTGTCCTTGTGGCTGCTCCTCTCGGTGTGGTGATTGTTCTGTTCATGGTTCTTCCACTGGACGCTGGTTCCATTCATTGGGACCGAGGTCATCAGACTCTTGGACTGGTAGCAGCAGCAGCAGAGGCAAGACTGTGAGAAACGGACAGACTCTTAATAGCACGCTCCTACCAACTCATCACGAGAAGAACATGGCAGCCGTGAGACCCCACCGACCAGAAGGCATACACCTGTGCGAGGGGAAAATGTGAGTCTAGATTCTGAAGCTTATCTTTAGGTGAAGAGAAGTATTTATTTCCTTTCTTTAATTCGATCCATCAAGTGAAAGAAGACAGGCTGGCGGTGTTGGCCAGAAGGGGAATGCTCTACTGATTTGGGGTCAGTGTGGGTGGGGAAGGGGTCACAGAGGCCTGACATTTCTTCAGCGTGCATCATCGGTGTGGCCCTTCATTTGCTCCTTACAACAGCCCCAGGCCACATTTCCTCCATGGAGGATGGTGAGACCCGGAGAGGACAATAAAAGATTGACCTTGAATTAGAACTCAGGACTCTCTGGATTGGAGTCTTTCCTATGGATGTGCTTTCTTTTTAGAAAGACCAGTCATAAAGTGTGTTAACAACACACATGCCATTCAGAGGCTCCCAAACTTATTTGCCCCATTGCCCTCTTTTCCAGTGGAGGGGGGGCGAAATCAGTATGCCTGGCAATTAAAAAGTCTTGTACTATAGCCCCAATTTAGGATAAAGTATAGGTATCTGCTTTTGCAGCTCTCCTGGATCATTCCAGTGTCCTCCCTGGTGGGGCGGTTCCCCACTTTGGGAAACACTGTACTAGGTTACCAGATTTTACAGGTGAGGTTGAGGCAGCGCTCACCAAAGCCAAACTCACTGCTACTGAGTTGATTCCAACTCATAGCAGCCTTATAGGGCAGGGTAGAACTGCTTCCTAGAGTTTCCAAGGTTATAAATCTTTATGGGAGCAGAAAGCTCCATCTTTTTTCCACAGAGTGACTGGTAGGTTTGACTTGTGGCTAGCAGTCTACTGCTTCGCCACTGAGACCAACAGGGGTCCTTTTGAGGAAGCAGGAGGGGCATTATACTGACCTGGGTAGTCAGTTAGCAAATAAAACATTTTGATTGGAATCAAGGTAGACTGCTTCCATAGCCCGCCCCCTGATCTCTACACTGTTCTCTCTGAGATGTGCCATGAACCAATGTTAACCACCCCAGCCATAAATATAAAAATCTAGTTAGGAACTATTATATGCAAGTATCATTCCAGGAACGGGAAGAATGGCACATCTATAAGAAGTGCTTGACGCTTCGGGAGGACTTGAGCTGGCTTAGCTGGAAGGAGGACTGCATAATCGAAGGACATTGATTTCCACATATAATTAGATTACTCTAGGCTTCCAAAAACAATAAGCATTTACTTTCCTTGAAGAAGCTATTATTCAATGTCTTTACAGAGCTTTCTTAACAATGGAGTTTATGTTGAGATCCTAGTTAAAGTCGAAGTCAATGCAAAGCATGCAAATATCGTTTGTATGTGTGCTATGAAGAGTGCTGGTGGTGCTGTCAGGGAAACAGTGGACTGCTAACCTCAAGGTTAGGGGCTCAAACCCACCAGCTGCTCTTCAGGAAAAAGTTGAGGCTATTTGCTCCCATAAAGATTTACAGCCTCAGAAACCTTGGATTTTTTGCTCTGACTCAGAATTGCCTTCATGGAAATGGGTGTGGTTTTGGGATGTGGATGTATCTTTTTCTTTTATCTAAAGGATGCTGCTAAATTTCTATGCAATTAAGAAAATGTTTAGACCCTTTGATGTGAAACTCTGAATATATTGTCTGAATTGGCACAGCTTTTCTGGGCATTCTGACCTTTTTCCTGGGTAACAAACCATGACTGTCATTTCCTTCTGGAAAATGACCACGGCTGATGAAAATGAGGCTTAACTTTGAATTAGCAGCGCCTGCTCACTACCTCATACACTTACTTATTTGGCTGTCTTTAAAAACAGTTGCAGAACAGTCTTACCTGAAAACAATTTTTAAATTTCTTGCTCACAAAATATAGAGCGATGGGGTTTATACATGAATTCATAGTTGCCAAGTTAATACCAATGTAATCCATGAGCAGCAAGAAACTAGGATAAAAGAAGATGAGTAGAAAAATTAGAACATAATATTTTAAACAATCTGCTAAGAAGCATTTAGGTAGCTGGGAGAAACATTTCTCGCACACAATCCATTTCTTACAGGTTGCATATATATATATAATGTATGTATATATGCATGTGTGTAATTTAATTCTTTAAAAAGATGCTCGTTTAAATTCTCTCGGGTGTTTACAGATACTTCAGCCATTTGAGCAGCTCAAATCCTTAAGTTCAGGTTTCAGGGATGGAATCCCCAAATAGAGACAGGGCTTTCCCAAATTCTGGGATCAGTTATGGTCGGCTACAGCAAAATAACCAACTCTGCATTTTCATTTTCAGGGGGATCCCGAGTCCATGGTGCTGTGAATTCATGACAGATGAGAGAATCAGGGAATGTCAGGTTCCTAGTGGCCAAATGGGGTCATACCTAAGTAATTCACATCGGTTCTTGTCCATCTCATCATACACGGTTTTCTTCAAAATGCGGCTTAAATGCAGAGGGAACCAGCAGAGGGCGAAAATTACAACCAAGCAGAAAACGGTTTTTGCCACTTCACGACGCTAAAGGAAAGCGAAAGAAGACAGCACATGAAATGTCAGATTCTTGCGCAGAGTAGATGAAATAATTGAGGGGCTCTGATGGTGTGGTGGGCTATGTACTGGTCTGCTATCTACACGGTCAGCAGGTCAAACCCACCAGCTTTCCCTCAGGAGAAAGATGAGGCTTCCCACAGGGGGTTGTTCTACTCTGCCAGACAGGGGAGTTTCCATCAACATCGACTCCACCTCAGTGAATATGTTGGTTTGGCGACAAAAGAACTACACAACCACGAGGTAAGTAGGTATTGGGGAAAGAACAACCCACACAAAAGCCTGGGGAACAGACAGCCTCCAGGTGCCTCCACCTCTCTTCAATTCTGTGTCCAACTGCCTAGCCCGGGAGTTGGTGACAAGGCTGTCGAACAGTTGCCAGGCAGGGTGATGAGCTGAGGTTGGGTTCGAGGTGGGACCTAGTTGGGGGTGAGCCAATACTGAAGCCAAGTCTGGGTGAAAGTGTGGGCGGAGTGGATGGGGAAAGGAATGAGTGCAAGGCATCAGCAGGAGTAACAAAAGGGCATTTAGTTGACAACAGGAGCCCCAGGGGCACAGTAGTAGGTGTTAGGCTCCTCGGATCCACAATCAATGCTCATAGAAGCAGCAGTCAAGAGATCAAACATCATGTTGCATGGTCTGCATCTGCTGCCCAAGACCTCTTTAGGGAGCTGAAGAGCAAGGATGTTGATTTGAGGACTACAGTGCGCCTGACCCAAGCCATGGGTCAATTGCCTCATCTACATGCGAAAGTTGGACATTGAGTAAAGAAGACCAAAGAATTGATGTGTTTGAATTGTGGTGCTAGCGAAGAATATTGAAAGTACCATGGATGGTTAAAAGGACAAACCAATCTGTTTTGGAAGAATTATGCCCAGAGTGCTTCTTAGAGGCAAGGATGCCAAGGTTTTGTCTCACGTACTTTGTACATGCTATCAGGAGAGACCAGTCCCTGGAGAAGGACATCATGTTTGGTAAAGTTGAGGGGCAGTGACAAAGAAGGCCTTCAAGGAGATGGATTGACACAGTGGCTGCAACAACGGGATCAAGCATGGCAACAACTGTGAGGATGGCGCAGGACCAGACAGGTGTCATTCTGTTGTGCATGGGATCCACTGTGGGTCAGAACCAACTCGATGGCACCTAACAGCAACAACAACAACAACAACAACAACAACAAGCTCCTAAGAAAGACCTAGTTATCTGTTCCTATGAAGATTAAAGGTAGGAAAACCCTATGGGACATTTCTATTGTGGCCGGATAAGACTCACTGCAATCCCACGTGGTAGACATAGGATTACAGTGAGTGAATGAACTTGATGGTGCCCAACAACAACCAAAGCATTAGTGATGGCAGGAGAGGCAAGGGGACTGAACAGAGCATGCTCATGGACTAGAAACCAAAACAAGAGTGGGAATGCAAGAGCAAACACAACAGCAATATGTTTGCTCCACTTCCAGACCTTGAGAAAGCCAGGACTGGGATCCTTTACCTTTTAAACTCTCTGATGAATGGTATTTCATATATATACATATATATATATATATATATATATATATATATATATGAGAATACCATTTGAAAATAATATATATATTATTTTCAAACAGGGGGATGATAGTCAAATATGACCAGCAATATTGATTTTCAATATTGATTTGAAAAACTGAGGCATGCTGACTCTAGGCTGACTTCAGTGGAGGGTTTACATATTTTGCATCTGTGTAGGATCAGAAAAAGCCCAGGTTGGGAATTTTCTGCATCTGCTCAGGCACATTGGCTGGAGTATTATCAGACATGCATTTAGAAGTCTAACGAGAGATATAACATGCAGCTAGTCTGTCATTGGGACCCGTTGATGTTAAAATAAACCAACTGGAAGGGTAATGCTGGTTCAGCTCAACCCATAAAACATGAAGTGTGGGAAGCTTGCAATAAATCCACATGATTACTAGAGCTATTTAGGAAGATTGTTGGGAAGTTGCCAAAGATTGCTGCTCTAACCCAAAGGATTGGGAGTTTTTCTCTTTCTTAGTTATTGGTCTGGTTGGTAGCTGGCTCCAGAGAAAACACAAACAAACCAGGGACCGAGGGAAGAGCAGGACTTAGGGGGCTTTTCAAAAGGTCAGCGTGTGAACACAGGAAAACAAACTTTCCATAAACACAGTAGTTTTTGGAAAGGTTACTTTCTCGGAGCATTTCCTCAAAGAGGACAACTTAAAAAAATATCATTTCAGTGGTAGTAGTCTTGACATTGATGAGGGAGACTCAGGTTTGATTTTCAGACAGTGTACTTCATGGACAGCCACATAGGTTCAAGGGAGCTTCCAGACTAGATTTACTTCAGAAAATCGACCCTGGAAAACCCTCTGGTTCATAGCAGGATCATGGGCCTGGTGTAAGGCCTGGCTATATTTTGTTCTGTTGTACAACACGAGTAAGCTACCCTGACCGTCTAGCATTTGCTTCTTCAATATCTATCCGTCCTTGTGTCTTCCCGTTATTCGAACACTCAATTTAGTTTTGACAGCATTTGGGCTTGGTCGAATTACGTAAGTGGCCTTGTGACCTTGTGATGTAATCTTGACAATTAGATTCCATAGATATTGTTGTGTGGAATGTTTGAAAAAGCTTTTTTTAAATAGTGTGGTGCATACACATGAACGTGTCTTCTGTTTGTCCCCCTTCTTGCTGCCTGGAAGTCAGATATGAGTGGAGTGACTGATACCCTTTTTAATACTGGAGGTAAGGTCAGCAAATGACAGACAGCTGGCTGGTGACCTCTTGGACCACTGAACCAACGCTATTTGTAATTCTTATTAGAACGTCTCTGCTGCACGAGAAAGATAAACCCCTATCTGGCCAAATCACTGTGATGTTAAGCATTCTGTTATCCAAACGCAATCCCTAACTAATCAAATTGCTATCATAAGCAAGAGAAATGAAGAGAAAACGGCATTGAGAAGCAAGGCCAAGCGCTATATATGGATTCTTCGTTACAGAGTGGCAGTGCCTTTTGCTCTGTCCTAGCTCCTAGTTCAAGGTCTTCAACTAGGATTTTGCTCTGTACAATCTGGGTTGGAGGGATTCCGGCCAGCTTTGCTTTTCCGTGGTGAGACCCCACAATAGCTCTGACTGACTAAAGGGAACATCTTCTGCAGGAGGATGCCAGTCTTGAGCTGTCATCTCCATTAAGGGGTTGTTAATTGCACTGTCTAAAGAACAGAATATCGGTCCTACTAAAGTTGTAGGCTGTGTGAAGACATCAAATAACACATGGTGCAGAGCAGGTGCTCCTCAGAGCTGAAGGAAGGTAAGGCTACAACCAGCATTCAAAGCACTATTTTTAGAAATATCAATTTTAATGAATTTTTGCTGTTGCACATGGAAACAATTGTAGGGAAGAGAGATAACTGCTGTTACGTATAGCTCATATCAGGAGTACTTGAAGCGTCAATGCCTGAACTCAGTTGTATGAAAGTTTCTCAATATAACCTTGCTAAGTTTCAAACAATGACAGCAGCAAACATTTGTATGGCACATTGGACTATAAAGAATGTGTGTGCACTTTAATTTGATTCTGACCATAACATTGATTCATCTATTACTAGGCCCATCACATCATATATGGTTTTCTTCAAAATGCGGTTTAATGAAAGGGGTGAGGAACTGAAGCTAAGAAAAATCAGTACAGCAATGGGAAAAGAGTTGCAGCTGATGAAGTGATGTTTGTATATGGGAATTACAGAGCGTATGTTTAAAAGCTCTATCAATCAACTCATAATAATAATATTTTTGTGCAGAAGAATACCTTTAAGCATCATCTGTTTTCTTGGCGATATAAGCTCTGTCAAATTAATATTATTCTCTCTCTTTTTACCCACTTCCCAAATGCCTGGTACTCACTTCATGCTATCACGAGATGCCTGTCCTCCCACCTGAAATGCCCTCGCCCTCTTCAGCACCCATCAAATCCCCTTTATCCTCACAGCTTCCATGCAGTGCCCCCACCATGAACAATTTCCCTTTGAGCCTAACTCATATCTTACTTTCCTTTCTATAAATGGGCTCCTTTTGCCCTATCTTGTGATTTTATCTTGCAGTTGGTTCATGTTTGTATTTTACCACCACAAGACTTGGAAGGGCTTTAAGGCAACAGGCACTATGCTTCTTTTCGTTCAACCACAGTTCCAAGCAGTTCATTGCACACACACACGTGCATGTGTGTACATGCACGCATACACACAGCCTCTCAAGATCATCTTGGTAAAACAAAGGACTCAAAGTAAACAATGATTCCATTTTGTTTGGGCCCAGCTTCCTGGGACACATGTTTCACTGGCAGGCTCCCTATATTACAAAAGAAATTCCTAACACTATAATTATCAGTCAAACACTTACAAGGACTATTCCTTTTTTTTTTTTTTTAAAGGAGCCAGGCTAAATCTGTTGGCATACTTGCAAGTACAGCATTCTGTCAAGTGCGGTCTCAGCCAGCGTTTCATGACTTCATTAGATTTACCTGTTTAAGATGTTCACTGAGGGCAATCCTCAAGCTACCATTTCTCCTGTTTAACATCTCACAAGTCATCAGGGTGTAGAAGATTGCAGTGCACACCAAGGGCATGCAGAAATAGAACCCAAAGAGCCACCAGTCCTTCACGTCTTGGTAGAACTGTAAAGAAGAAAGAGAGTCTTTGATGTAGAGTGTTTCTGGTAGCTTGAAGATCGTTGCCCCTGCAGATTACACATGCATATTCATGTTCACTGGTGGCAGTGATGGACAACTTCATGAAATTGCAACATCCAGAAGTAGCCTGCAAAGAAAATACTTTCAAAAAGGATCCTCACAAGGTTACATTTTTTCCCCCCAAGATAAAGTTGCTTCTAATTCCACAGTGGAGCAGCTCTTTAAAAAATTCCCTTCTAGTAAACAAGTGGCCATCTAGCTCAGAAGCAACAAAGCCCACATGGAAGAAGCACACCAGCCTGTGCGATCACGAGGTGTCGAAGGGATCAGGTATCAGGCATCATCAGAACAAAAAATCATATCCTTGTGAATGAGGGGGGAAGTGTGGAGTGGAGACCCAAAGCCCACGAGTAGGCCACTGGACATCCCCTTACAGAAGGGTCTCAGGGAGGAGACAAGCCAGTCAGGGTGTGATGTAGCAACGATGAAAAATACAACTTTCTTCTAGTTTCTAAATGTTTCCTCCCCACCAACTATCATGATCCCAATTCTATCTTACAAATCTGGCTAGACCAGAGGATGTACACTGCTACAGATAGGAACTGGAAACACAGGGAATCCAGGGTGGATGATCCCTTCAGGACCAGGTGGTGTGAGTGGTGATACGGGGAGGGTGGGTTGGAAAAGGGGAACCGATGAGAAAGATCTACATATAACCTCCTCCCAGGGGGATGGACATCAGAAAAGTGGGTTAAGGGAGACGTCGGACAGGGCAAGATATGACAAAATAATAATTTGTAAATTATCAAGGGTCCATGAGGGAGGGGGGAGCGAGGAGGGGGTGGAAAAAATGGAGCTGATGCCAGGGGCTTGGGTGGAGAGCAAATGTTTTGAGAGTGATGAGGCCAATGAATGTACAAATGAGCTTTACACAATTGATGTATGTATGGATTGTGATAAGAGTTGTATGAGCCCCTAGTAAAATGATTGAAAAAAACAAAACAAACAAAACTCTAAAGTAAAAAAAAAAAATCTCTTCGAATACTTCTAAAAAGTGATTTTCAATCACATAGACAATATATTTATCTTCAATTCCTGATGAACCCTAAAATTCTGCTCGTGTCTGGTTTACATTTGACTGCTGTGGTTCAAGTGTACTTCATGTGAACTTCTTGTTTGGACATGAGGAAGGTTATGAATGGCTTATCTTTGTAGCTTTGGTCAGTGGGAATTAACCCTTTGCCTGGAATGCCTGCTATGTGACCTGCTAGCCAGCCAATTCCCACCATTAATAACTGTAGCCTTTTGCCTGCCTTTAATACGTACCACCTGGAAAACATTGAAACAGCATCTCTTGTCTGAAGGCTCAGTTAGCATTATCTCTCTAGGGACAGAGTTCGTAAACAGTAGGATTATTTAGTTTTCATTTTCTTTTTAAGGAGAAGACTTAATACCTTATAAAATAATATTGGAAAATAATAACTAAATTCTTCCTTCCATTAAATTAATCTGACTTGGGAAAGAAAGGTCTTTCATTCTCTAATAATGTTTCTCCAGCTTGTTTATTTACTAAGGATGAAGCAGTCTACTGTAATAATTCAGTCCCCACGGTGAAAAAATTCTGCTGTTGTGTGTGCAAAATTGGTCAGCTTCTGATTATAGAAAGAGGCCCAGTGGGTTATATTTATAACATATCTATTAAAATAACTTGTAAATGGTTCCTGAGAAAGGAAAACCCTTTATAAGCAGGGATTCTTAACCATTTCTATGTCATGAAGCCCTTTGGAAGTCTGGTGAAGATCATACTCCCTGTTCAGGACAATGCCTTTATAAGCATAAAGTAAAACACTGGAGCACACACAGGGCGTTGACTACATGGAAACACTGTGATGGGAATGTTGAAAATAAAATTCTTATACGGTAGTATCAAAAGGGAGCATCAAAAAATTCACCAAAAAAATAGAATTCAAAGATACTGGAATTTTCCCATGAACTGAAAAGCAAACAAGACCCTAATATATCTTCCTTTTATTCACAAATTAAAGAACAGATCTAGTGCTGGTGCGAATCACTTCCGCAATACCGATGCAGTGCTGAGGATACATGATATTTTGAGATTCTACAGCTGTGGGAAACAGATTCCTCCCAAGTTGTCTCCCCCAAATATATGCCAAACTTAGCTGCTTGCTAAACATGGTAAATGACTATACACTTGGAGGTCAAAGAGAGTAGGTCAGAGGTTATTCTCCCTAAGGGTTATCAGCCATCCAGAGCAATCAAACAGTATGGTTTGTCCCACCCTAAGTAGGGCCCACTCCTTTCTGATAAGGATCATAGTAGACTGTTCCCCTGAAGGAGAGCCCAGAGACAAGGTCGAGCCCACTCAAGGATAACTAAGGTTAGGCTTCCATATTGAGTCTAGGGGCCTCGCATCTTGTCAAATGTGTACCACTAGTCCCTCCCCTTCCTATTATGTGTTCATCCCTAGCTCATCCCCTTCCTGTCACGCTTATGCCTATTGTACATCCCTTTCCTGTGATGTATATGCCTATTGTACAACCTCTTCCTGTAATGTATGTCTTTACCTGTAATTAAGGGGCATGCATGCCCCCAAAGACATACAAGCCTTGGTTAGTAATAACTCTCTTTGCCTGCGCTGTGCATAGACCTGGCTGTTGCGACCATGGCCATCTAGGTATGAGCATTCTACCATGAACTGTGTCTGACTTCTTTATTTGACTCTCTCTCCCATCTCTCCCATTTCTCTCTGACTTTACTATAATCTTTACATATCTTAACCGTACAATTGCGCTTACTGAACCCGTGATGAGTTGTGGGGGTCTGGCATTCTCCCACATACAGCAATTGTCAGTGGGTCTGGAAATGTTAGTGACAAGGCCATGGGTAAGAACGAGTACTAGTGTGGTTTATTGCCTACATTCATGATAGAAGGACATGATAAAATTTAGTTAGAAATTAATGAACATGTGACCCCGCCTGCCCCCCTTCCCCCCATCCGCAGTTAAATTCAGACTCTGGTCCTCAGGATACATGCTAATTCTCAAAGGAGTTGTTTTCTTCAGATTTGCTTTCGCAAATATTTCTCTATATCATGAGTAAGATTTAAGTGAGCTGGAACAATAACAAGGTTCAGAAAGGGCTCTCTCTCGTAAGTACAACATAAAAACTCCTTTGGGCAGGGCTCCTCTTTTATGACCTGTTCTTCCTGCTGTCTTATATTTCTCTATCTATATCATGAGTAAGATATACTTGAACTTCAACAATAAAAAGGTTCAGAAAGGGCTCTCTCTCTTAAGTACAACATAAAACTCCTTTGAGCAGGGCTCCTCTTTTATGACTTCTTCCTGCTGGTTGTGCGAGCAGGGCCCAGAAGCAGCTGCACAGGGCCTGGAAGCCGACTGCCAAGACAAGAGGATGTGTCCTCTGCCCCACTGCATTTGAAGCCTTTGGAGAGAGGCGGCACACCTTTCTTTTGAACTGATGCCATCAGCAGTGGTATATGGAGATGTTTCCCATCACTCTGGGTTATAGCAAAGTTGAGGAGAAAAGAGTGGAGGAGAGAGGAGAGGGTAAATGAAGTTTGAAATACAAAGGAGAGGAGGAGAACGAGCATTCTGAAACCTTAGCCTTGGAACAAAATCTAAAACAGGTATCAGTTCAAACCCATCACCTTTGCTGCAACCTTCCAGTTCCCTACCTGAAGGGTAGCCAGACTTCATTTAAACACATCTTATAAAGGAGACTCAGTCCTTATGAAGCAGTCCAGTTCGGTCTATCTAGGTTCAATGATCAGCAAACACCTTCTTTCTCTATTGTTTTAGTCGAGACGTCACCAAACCCAAACCCAAAGTCACTGTCATCCAGTCCAGGCTGACTCCTAGAGACCCTGTGTGGGTTTCCAAGACTGTATGGGAGTAGAAAGCCCACTTTCTCCCATGGAGCTGCTTGTGGTTTTGAACTGCTGACCATGTGGATTGCAGCCCAGAGAGTAACCAACACACCACCAGGGCACCTTGTTTAGTCTGGAATGTCTCCCCAAATCCTGATGATCACCTCCTCTCTTTTGTTTTTCAGAGTGGAGACTGAGCCAAGACAACTGCCTGTCAATCCACAGAAGACAATGTTTTGGTTCCCCTCTTGGCAAATCTCCTGAGCACTGTTAATGTTAAAACAAGAGTCTTCAAGCGGGATCAGTGGTCAACTGGAAAATCACCAGTTCTGTGAATTCTCCAAGTTAAGAAAACATACCTTAAGACGCCTGTGAATCATTAAATGTGGAATCTGAGCTTCATGAAAAGTCACATCAAAGCCACAAATTATGCTGATTTAAGTGAAATAACTACCCTTTTGCTTTTCTTCCTCAGTCCACATGTAACTTGTTTTGCAAAAGAAATATGCACTTTAAATATGTTTCCTAAGACATTCAGCCCTGTGATTAAGCTTTTCAGAAAAACACTAATGTGATTGGGTGAAATGAAAACCAAACCAACGCAACAATTACTAAATTAGATAAACAAAACACTTAAGAAGTTCAGCAGCTTCTATAATTTGTATATAAGATATAGTTCTGTCTTAATAAATACATGTAAATACCACTCTCCTTTGAATTGGTAAATCCATACTTAAGAATGTGAATGCACAGCATGCATTTCCCCAAGTAAGACAAAATAAGAATCAGTAAGTCCCTGCCAGATGCTGTCTTCTTTATAACAAGAATAAATGAAGATTTCATTTGTACACATACATATTCTAATCCTAGTTTGTTTTTTTTTTAACAAATTTGCTGTAGAATTCTTAGTTGTTTGGGAGAGAAGAGTAGCTTTGTGTAGAGTTGTGCACTAGTATAAGAGGAACAAAAAAACCCAATCAATCGTGTTCTAGTCAAGAGGTAAATACTGGTTTCACATCCATTTTTCATGCACCTGGCGTACTGGACTGAACTGATAGTGTAAACCACACTTGGCATATGGAGAGGTAAACTTTTAAGATGGTGAAGTATAATGGAAAAATTCTTTCCACCCCCATTTAATTCTTTGTAAACTCCGAATACCTCCATGAATTTTGATGTAGCATTGAGCATACAGGTTTTGTGCTGTTCACCCTTGTATTCGAAGGGCACCATGACGAAGCCAATTGCTTCCGGGATGGCCAGCATAAAGGAAAGGATCCAGATGGAGACAATTTCAATGGCAGTGACCAAGGGAATCCCAATTCCCTGAACACGACTCCAGGAAGCAACTGCTCTGTACCTGGGGGGAGAAAAGTATAAAAATAGTTTAGTGAATGAAACAACAAAGTTGTTAGGAATTTAAACATCTATTTTGATGAATAACTGTGGTAACTTCTAGGCAAAGCTCAAAGGCCAGTCACCACATTTACACAACAGTGCCGTCATGATGGACTGGGAGTCAAAGCTCACTTAGAGTTGAGCTACGTTTTTCTTTCAAAATTAAATTTAAAATAGGATAGTGACCTTTTGGAGAAATCGCTTCCATTGACTAAATTCTGGATTGTAGTATATTTAACAACAGTCCTCAGTAAAGGTGGCATATATACAATGTGAGAAGTGCACAGATGATAATTATTAAAAGGAGGGGATACAATAGGGGGATAATAAGAAATAGTGGGGAGAGGGGGGTGCAGGAGGGATGGCAAGGAGTCAAAGAAACTGTTGGATGACCCAAATATTATTTTTCCTTTCATATGGACTTCTTTTTTTAATGATTTTCTTCTTATTCTTCACTTAGAGAAGTGTCTGTGGTGACAGAGCTTCCGAAAGGCATTCCTCAGGGTTACAGATGACATGTGGCCCCGCGTCTTCAAAAGTTTGTGGGTGTATCAAAACAGATGCATACAGTTTTTCTGTAGCTTTACTTTAGCTTTACTTTGAGAAAGGGCTCAAAGCCTTCTCCATAACTGGAAAGTTGCACATGCAGCAAGTGTAGGTGCCGTTGCTGAAATGATCATTGCGTGAGTAGAGCAATCATATCAAAGTGGGGGCAAATTTGTACATTTTGCATGTATGGTGCTGGTGAAGAATATTGAAAGTACCATGGACTGCCAAAAAGTACAAACAAACCTGTTTTCGAAGATGTATGTAAAGAATATTCCTTCGAGGAAGGATGGCAAGACTTTCAAGATCTCACATACGGCGGCCATGCTTTCAGGAGAGACCAATCCTTGGAGAAGGACATCATGTTTGGTCAAGTCGAGGTACAGGGAAAAGGAGGAAGGCGCTGAAGGAGATGGATTGAGAGTGGCTGCAACCATGTGCTCAGGCAGAGTGACAACTGTGAGGCTGGTGCAGGACTGGGCGGTGGTTGATCTGTTGGATAGAGGGTCGCTGGGGGTTGGAATGGACTTGATGGTACCCAAGGACCATGGTGATGAGTTGTCTAGAAGTCAGGCATCTAATTTGAGGACTGCCCATACTCTCACGTGGGTCAAGATGAAGTGCAGGGTATGGATGGTCAGGGACCAACCGTCAGCCTGACTAGGAATTGTTCAAGAGCTTTTTTATGTGGAAAGTAAAAGAAAGGAAAAGGAAAACGAGGTCACAAAGAGTGCCAACCTGTGGGAATGGATGATCTGGGCATGCCTGAGTCTGAGGTTCTTTTTTTGGGGGGTGGGGTTGTCTATCTAAATCTCATGAAGTTTTAGATTATGTTAGAGTTTAAACCACTAGTTTAAGCTAGGGGTTGGAAGGGGCTACGGAAGCTGCTGGTACCTGTTATGCTAGTATCTCAGTCCTTGAAATATTATCTATTCAATGATTCTATATATCAATAAGCAAATAGTGGTAGCAGATATTCCATCTTCTGTTCCCTTAAAATATGATCGGAGTGGGCTTGTACCAGTTGGCAGTTTCAGTACTAAATACTATTTTGACAAATGTCTGAGGATGGCTCTTTTTCTTTCTAACTATAGCCCTGAGTTAGAGCATAGGAAAGAGTTAGGTGTACCTCGGAGTTACAATCTGACAGAAAAGAATGTTCATTCGGTATATGAAATCAACATAATGGAATACTATGCCCCTCCCCTCCCCCCACCCCCAACTGATATTTACAGGTTGTATTTGTGTCTCCTTAATATGTTTTTAAAAATTGTAATCCTATTTAAATGTTAAATCTAAAGCAGGTTTGGCTTCGGAAATAGGATGCTTTTTAAAAACCTGATGTGATGGCCTGACGCTAACTGCTTTTAGACTTACCAATAAGAAAGGGCTTGTGCCATAGTATGGTATTTTTATGGCTTCATTCTTGGCATTTCCGGTGCTGTTGTCATGGAAAAGAAACATTCTCTTTTTATAGCTCTCACTAGATAGTGCCAGAAGAGGGTTGTAAAACAAACAAGATTGGAGACAGGTGTCCCTGGGTTCAAAGGCCAAGCTATGTAATGTAGAGATGGACCCCATAAAACTGAAGCAAGCTACAAGTTACCCATCTCAGCCAACGTCAGCCCCTATAATTTGTATTTAGGGTGCAGGCAGTCCCTGGGGTGCAAATGAAACCCGCTCCTAAGTATATCTTTCAGAATCTGTAGGTACATAGGAACAAGCACATATAGTTTTATTGAGCCTTACTTTAGTGCAAAGACAGGCTGCAAGCCTTTTCAATGATTTAACAGTTGCACGTGCAGAAGGTGAAGGTGACTGTGGTGCAGATTTTGTGTGTAGAGGTGGGATCCGTTGTTTCAAATTGAGGGCAAATTTCCTGAGCAAGAAAGGTTTAGGAAGAGTTGTTCCTAAGTAAGTTCCGAACAAGGGAGGCTGCTTGTATTGTCTCGGAAAGTTGGAAGAGGAGTAGCCATAAAGACCCAACTCCAGTCAAGCAGTCTAGCCCGCCACTGGCATTTAGAGGGGGGTGTTGGTGGTGGGGTGGTTAGTGGTGTTGAGTTGATTTGGATTCACAGCAACCCCTGTGACAGAACTCCCCACAAGGGTTTTCATGGCTGTACTTTTCAAGGTAGTAGAGCATCAGGTTTTCAGTTTTTTTACTTCCTGGGGAGATGCTGACTAAACCCCTCCCCCCTCAAACTCACTCGCATTGAGCCAGTTCTGACTGAGCAACCTTATAGGATAGGGTAGAACTACCTCTGGGTTTCTGAGACAGTAACTCATGATGGGAGTAGAAACCCTAGTCTTCCTCCTTTGCAGTGGCTGGTGGTTTTGAGGTGCCCACCTTTCAATTAGCAGCCTAACGTATAACTAGAACTTCCTCCATAAGGTTTTCTTGGCTGTAATTTTCATGGGAACAGATCCTCCTGGTTGTTGTTGTTGTTGTTTTTTCTCCCATGGAGCTGCTAGATGGATTCCAATCACTAACCTTGTGTTTAGCAGCTGAGTGCTTGACTGCGTTCCACCAGGCCTGCTGCTTAAAGATTAGAACCTCAATGGTTGCTGTCTTACATCATATATGCAGCACAATTTGCTGGAGAACTGCGTTTCAAAAAAAATTTTTAGGGCAAGTAAGATTGGTGTACAATAATAATCTCTAAGAAAGTTCAGAAGAGTTTGGAATGGAATAAAAAGAGCTGTGAAAACCGATCAAGAAAACCCTTTGACTGGATAGCCAAGACTATTTGCTATCTTATGTTTACTTCCAGTAGGATCAAGACAGCTATTTATTTTGCTTTCCATTTCTGCTTACTTTTCTTTGGTACCTAATTAGACTGGCAACTGATGTCCAATAAAAGCATGAGAGAGGGGAGATGGGATGTTTATATCACAAGGCTATCAACTGGATTACATCGGTTTTCTCTCCCCTTTCCTTAGCTCAGTTTCCAGGAAAGGTGATATATGAAATAAAACACCTTCCTTCCCCAGGAAGTTAAGAAAGCCTGATTTGTTAGGTAGGGTTCCAGGTGCAAGATGGTTAAGTTAGAAAATGTGGTCAGCAGGGCTTTATGATGACTCTTTTCACAGACCAGCTTAATTTCACAATGTCCTGTGAGTTCTCAGCATATTTACACTTAATCCACCACCCATCTGTCATTTTGTCATGCGGTGGTGGCTTGCATCTTGATGTGATGCTGGATATAGCAGGATTTCAAATCTAGCTGCGTCACCCGTGGTGGACAGATAACAACAAAATGTCTAGACTAAGGCAGAGCAGGAAGAAAGTTCCGACAATCTACCTCTGAACATTAGTCAATGCAAACCTCATGGATAACAACAGAGTACTCCTTTTTGAAAAACAGTTTTACTGACATATAATTCATGTGTCATATAATTAAAGGGCTAAGTATATTAAAGAGAATTGTACATTCCTCACCCCAATCAATTTTAGAACATTTTCTTCATTCTTATATCCATTATTATTAGCACCCATTTCCCCCTAACCTCCCTGTATTATATATAACCCTAAGTAATTATTACTCTAGTTGCTGTCTCTATAGATTTACTTTTCCCGAGTTTCACATAAAGAAAATCATCTAAGTTAAAGGAGCAAAAGCAACAACGAAACGGCACAAAGCCAGAAATTAAAACAATAAAACACAGACGAACAAGTTGAAAATGGGCTATAAGAAAAAACAAATGGTAAGATGTTTTACCCTAACTATATCTACAGTAGTGGAGTAGTTCTGCATTGGGCCCCTAGCTACAAGGTCAGCTGTTCGAAACCACCAGCCTTTCCCTGGGAGAAAGATGAGACTTTCCATTTCCATAAAGAATTATAGTATCGGCAATTCACAGGGGCAGTTCTACCCTGCCCTCCAGGGTCACTACGAGTCAAAATTGACTCGATGGCAGTGAGGCTGGTTTTTGGTGTTATAGCTGCAATAGTTTGCATTCCGATGCATTCTGTCTGGGAGCAAGACTATTCATATTTTTGGTCAAGGGACCTAGGGAATGCAAAGGACAGTAAATCCATGTAGAGGTTCTGTAAATGGATTTGGGGCTTTCACTGTCACTCATAGGCCTTTATAGTTCCCTACTTCTGAGCAAATCGGTCCTCAGAATTTAAGATCCGAAATAGTCTTTCCCTCTGATATTAAATTTCATTGTTAATAAATCTTTGATCTTGATGATTGGTGTACTTCTTCTATGTTGACTTTTGACACTTCATTTAGATGCTGTTCAAACAAACTGAATATTGATATGGTGCTGGAAGATGGTGTAAGACTGGTCAGTGTTTTGTTTTATGTAAGTTTGTCAGGAGTTGGGGTTGATGGCAAACAGCAACAACAACAACCATCCATTGTAAGTCAAAATTTAATTTTAAGGAGGACTAATTTTTATCTTCTGGTT